TATTTTATACTACTTTATGATGCTCCCTTGCATAAGAGCTCTTTGTGTTTGAACTGTGGATGCAGTATGACCTTCTTATATGTTATATGTATTGCTAAATTTTTCACATTGAAAATGAGGGGTGGATGAGAATTGAACCCATAAATTTTTTTGTCACGCTGACTCCAATATCATCAAAGGTCATCCTAGGCCAATCAAAAGTTAAAACTGATGATTTCTGTATAGATTTATTACTTTATTATAAATATATATGAGTAATATGACAACATTGATACAACATATAATCATTAAGAGACGTTGAATATTGATCAACAAAAAATATGGGGATAAAATAAAGTATTATTATGTAGTAACTACTTGCACTATTATAGAATTCATGTTACCATTGAATAGTTAAATCTAATAACAACTAATATAATCGGCAGTCTAAATAATATATATCAATGAAGAGTCTACTCCCAATATATTGATATAAAATTAGTGATTGGAGCAATGATATTTGTATAAATAGAACCAAAAATATTGTGATACTCACAAAAACTTTTGCCAGTAATGAATTACATACCAAAATACACACGAAAGTTTATTGGGTCTAATTGAAAAAAAAAATGGGGAGGAAGCACATCCAATTAGCTTCATTTTTCTTCCTTGCCACAGGCATTACCTTTTTTTTGTTTATTTATTTATTTTTTTACGGTAAGGAGAAGGGTTCTATTAGGCCAAAATTTTCCAAATAAGTAAATGGAGCAAGTATTTAAAAACAGTCGAAAAAGAAAAGTGGAGCAAATATATAAATACGGAGGGAGTATTTATTTATTTTTACTATAAGGAGAAGGGTTTTATCAGGTCAAAATCTCTCACAGGAACTCAATCCGAGTTAGTGAGCTAGATAATCTGGGAATGAGGGGAAGAGTAAGGAAACCCCCCCACCAAAAAAAAAAAAAAAAAAAAAAAAAAAAAAAAAAAAAAAAAAACTCTAGTGGGGTTTGACCGTTTGATCCTACAATTTTTTGCTATGATATACATGTATATGAATGTATATTGTATGTATTTTATTTTTATTTGTATGTACATGTGATATTGAAATTGCTTATCATACATACTCATGATATATGTGCTAAGTAATATTTTTTTATATATAGTAATTTTTCGTACTAATAATAAACGAAGTAACAATATTTTCGACAGTGATGGTGCAAATGCTATATGTAAGCGCACAATGTCTGGGTGATCAATGCAGTCCTACTACAGCTTGTTGTGAAGAATTTGCATGTGTTAACAACGTGTGCACAGATTGTGAGGATCACGCAGGGCATTCTTGTGATGACCGCGAATGTTGTCCTGAACTTTCATGTCTTCCAAACCCGAATTCTCCTCCTACCAACATTTGTGTTAATTGTGAGGAGCATCCTGGACACCCATGTACCCCCGACGTACGTGAGTGTTGTCCGAATACATCATTGATGTGTGTTAGTATTGGGTCAGATAAGTACGAATGTCAATTATAATTTGGATTGTTTTCCAGAGTTACACATCGATCATGCATCTTCTGGCTTCTCGATGCACTACGATGATATTTACACATATAGGTGTGATATCAAAGTGTGTTACTTATGGTTTTTATAATGTTCTTGTTTGTTGTTGGGTCGGTTAACTTCGTTACCCTTTTATTTCCTTTGATAACATGTACGTATCTTGGTTCTATCCTATCTACCGGACCTGAGACATTTTTATGAATGATCCAACTTGTAATGAAAATAATAATGGACTTTCTCTTTCTAGATGTGTGTTAATATATAATTATAATTTTCTTATCAATAGATTTGCAGATGATTGTAATGTATAACTATCTCGAATGGAGAGCCTTGTATACCTTTGATATGTGTAGGCGTGTAGCAGACAAAGATTTTTAGGAGTTGTGCGATTTCAGTCAATAGAGCCTTATTTCATTATTCAAAAATATAAATAAATAAAGATTCCATTATCATTATGATCTATAAAGTTTCTAATTAGATAATATAATAAATTTCAAATAAAATGATTAAGGAAAATTTGTAAATTACTACCTTAAAAAAGGGTCTGAATCCTCTATCCCCCTCTTATATCCCATTTTATGTCCCATTCTTTTTTATTGGTCCACGTCACATTAAATAGTGGATTGCTAAATACCGCCAACGTTTTTTATCAAACCGCCATCATTTTAAGTAAAGGGACTTTCTTGCCCTTAATAAATATTTACCCAATTATTTTAAAAAAAATTTCTAACTTTAATTAATCGACTACAATTACCGCGTCACTACCAACATCGGACCACCACCACTAATAGATTGGACCACCACCACGAACGGAAAAGTTATCGGAAATGGATGATAATCACGGTGATTCGTCGGAAAACCAACCGCAATCTCAACCCTCGGCTTTTGAACAAGTACGATTATTTATTTAATTAGCTAGTTGTATACTAATATGATTATAAATTATGCTGAATTTGGAATAAATTATAAATTAGCTAGTTGTATACATATATGATGACGTAAAACCGGTCAACCGGTGCACGAAACCGGTCAACCTCCCCGGAAATCGGTTTTATACGGCGGTTGACCGGAGTTGTTTACCGGTTTTGAACACCGGTTGGCCGTGTTGGTCTACCGGTTTTCCACGCAGGTTACCGTGGGCAACCGGTGCTGAAATCTGGTTATCCGTCACGGTCAACCGGTGGTAAAATCCGGTAACCCATGTCGGTCAACCGGTTTGCAGCTCCGGTTGAGTGTGGTGACGATGCTTTTTTTTAAAATTAATATTATTGTATTTACTTTTATACTAGTATGAATAATATAAATAAATATTATTCTATTTAAGATTATTATTATAATTATAATTATAATTATTAATGTTATATTGTTCGTTATTATTAATTAAAAGAATTATTTATTTGTATCAGGCGTCATTATCAGATTACGGCGGTGATGGTGTTGATTATAGCCCGCAATTTCAGACTAGAGAAGTTTTCCCGACCTATCAAGCAGCTGTTGATTGGGCTAGAGAAATTGCCACTCCATTAGGGTTCTTTTTGACAAATTCATCGTATAAGAAACAAAGAAATGGGCTTCCAATTAATTACATGAAATGTGATCGTGGGGAGAGAAACAGAGGGGAAAATTAGGACCGTGAAAATGCCACACGGAAAAACACGAAGAGCAAGGGTTGTAAATGTACGTTTCAAATCTCGGCTCGATGTTTGCGGGATATGGAAGGATGGATAATTAAATCTAAAAAGGGCTTGAAAGGCATGCATAACCATCCGCTCATGGTATATCGAGAGGGTCACCGACAGGTTAGTGGTCTTAGTCCAGCTGCAAAGACGCTTGTTATTGACATGAATTCTGTTGCAGCCAAGCCGCGTCACATTATGGAAGCCGTGAAAGAGAAGTTTCCGAATGAGAGCCCAACAAGAGACATATCTACAATGTGAGAAGTCGTGCTCGTCTAGATGCTTGTGAAGGTCGAGATGTTGCGCACCAGTTTGTTCACTTGGCAAATGAGTACAAGTATGTCACTTAGATAAATGTTGATCCAGATACCCGTGCCATCACCCATTCTTTTTTGGCCCACTCAGAGATGGCTAATATGTTACGTACGTATCCACATGTCACTGGGATGGATTCTACGTACAAGACCAACATATATAACATGCCATTCTTCGAGCTCGTTGGTGTCACGCCTACAAATCAAAACTTTTTGATCGGATATGCCATATTGAAGAGTGAAACTTATGAAAGCTACAAGTGGGTTTTGGAGAAATTGCAGTTGTACATTGGATTTGAGGTGGCTCCGAATGTTTTTGTTACTGATTGTGAGTTGGGGTTGATGAAGGCTTTGAAAGAGGTCTTTCCAAATTGTGCGAATTTATTATGCGGGTGGCACATTAACAAGTATGTATTGGGAAGGGCGCACATTTTGTGTGGGAAGGATATGTTGATGGCCGAGAGATTTTGAAATGGTAGATGGAGAAGAGTAATGTGTTCGACCACTATTGCCGACTATGAGTTAAAGTTGCAAACTATGAAAGCGACATGGGGAGCATCGAACCCACCACTGGTGAAATACGTCGAGGATCAATGGTTGGTCCATAAGGAGAAATTTGTGCGAGTTTGGACAAATTTGGTGATGCACTTCGGCAATGTCAACACATGTAGAGTAGAGAGCCAACATTCCGTACTTAAACAATGGTTCGACAGTTCTACAGGAGCATTAGACACTATCTTCTGTCGTGTGCACAGCAACATTGAGGGTATGCTAATTGAGATTCGTCACCATTTAGAGGACTCGAGACGGCGAATGGGGTCACAACACAACATCATGCCTTTGCTTCATCTTAACGGCTTTATGTCATTTCGAGGTCTTGATATTTTACAGGATGAGTTGAAGAGGATGGGAGAGTTATCTGATGATGTGTTGGATAGGTGTGGGTGTGCGTTACTGACAACGCACGGTCTCCCATGTGCATGCACCATGTGGACAACAATTCTTGCAGGGACAGGGTTGTATTTGGATTAGGTCCATCCATTTTGGAAGACATTAGTGATCGGTGAGGGCGTTGACATTCCCGTTTTTGCTAATGAGTCGGAGCAGGATGCAGCCTTGTTTAGGTCTTTGGTGGATGAGGTCTTAGATCGTGATCCAAGCTTTGTGTGGGGTATCAACCGGGTCCTATTTGAGGAGCTACTCCGAGATCAGACTGATTTTACTGATCCATAGGTCAACAAGACAACAAGGGGTCGACCACCGACAGGTCAATGGTCTACATCTACTAGGCGTAATCGCAGCAGATTTGAGCATATTTTGGGTTCTCGTGGCCGTCGAGGTGGTCGTAGGGGTGGTCGTCGGGGTGGTCGTACGACACCGATTTATACAGCTTTAGGTTCTTATTATTATTATTATTATTATTATTATTATTATTATTATTATTAATAATAATATTATTATTATTATTATTATTTATGGCTAATTTGTGCACACTTGTAAGGAATGATTTGAACTTGGAGGAATTCGCATATTTGGATAAAGTTCCAGCCTTCATGCTTCCATTTCTACGAGGGTGGAGTGATCCTCTTGGTGATGGTAACTGTGGATTTCGATGTGTTGCAGATTTCTTCATAGGTGACCAGCATGAATGGATATTAGCTCGACGATCGATTGCAAATGAGGTTGGTCATCATCGAGACATGTATTCTCGAGTGTACAGAGTTGAACAATTAGATGTTGCAATCAACCGTATCACATGGACTGGAGGGAGATTCGGCACAAATCATTGGATGGTTGCTTTTGATGACTTGTTTTCGATTGCTAACTTTTATAATGCCGCTGTTATGTGTTTTGGTGTTGGTATAGATGGTCGTGGTGTGTTCCCATGCATCACTGTGCTACCTTGGACTGCTCCGTCAATAGCAACCGGTCCGTATAGGGAGTTTTGCATACTGTCTTTAGGGTGGAATTTTGTGCGATTGGAGTTTGAAGATAATTTTCCAGTTCCTCCTATTGCTACTACTTGGTTTGATATACGTGACGATACCGTTACAGGTTGGGAGGATCGATATCAACATAGGCGCGCTACTTGGAACACTCTAGCTAATAGTCAATGATGTGATTGATAGGAGATTTTATTGCATTGTTAATACTGAACTCTTAATTTAATAATTTTATTCATTTAATAATGTCCCAATAATTATTAAATCCTAAATCTATAAACCAAAAAAAAGGTCCAAATATAATGATGTCCCAACAATTATTAAATCCAAATCTAATATAAAAAAAAATCCAAATCTAATAATGTCCCAACAATTATTAACTCCAAAGCTAATAAACCAAAAAAAAAGGAAAAAAAATCCAAATCCAATGATATCTCAATAATTATTAACTCCAAATCTAATAATTTTAAAAAAAATCCAAATTAACCAAATCTAATAATTAAAAAAAATATATCAAGCTTCTAACATGTCATTTGATGTGTCTATTTTATATAGTATTTTACCCCCGTCCCTTGGTCGTAATTAGTAATGTTTTTGGCTCTTTAGAGCCACTTTTATTACTAATTGGTGTTTTCCAGTGTTTTCGTAGATTTGGTTGACTTTTGCAGGGATTTATGCTTTTGGAGTATTTTTCCGAGTTATTTTGGAGCAATCACGAGCATTGGAGAAACACGACCAGATTTTATAGCCCATGGCCGGTTAGAGCCATCGAACCGGTGATTAAGGGCTCGGTATAGGTGATACCGGGGCATTGGGACCGAGTATTCAAGACCGGAAGAGGAAACCCAGATTGGCCCAAATAAATGGAGCCCAATCGTAGTCAAAATAGTGGCCCAAGAGAGCCGTCAGGCCAAAGAGGATGGCGCCCGGAGGCGCGCCCGGCCGGGCGGGAGAAGCTAAGGATGGCGCCCGGTGCACGCCCGGCCGGGCGCGAGATTAGTACATCGAGCAAAAAGGCACGCCCGATCGGGCGGTGCCTCGCCCGATCGGACGCGTGTATTTTTTAGGAGACGATTAGCGTCGTTTTAGTTTGTTTTAGTTTAGGATTTGTACGGAGTATAAATACTCCTCCGTAATACGATTAGAACTCTCTCTCTCTCTTCCTTTGACTTTTTCCTTTACTCTCTTAATTGTTCTCTTAGATTCTCTCTCTCTTAAACCTTTATTCTTAATCTACTCTTAATTCCAGATTTGTTTGGTAACGATTTCTCTTCTCTTAATATTAGTTGTTTATTTTATTCCTTTCATCATGACTTGTTTTATTGCTTTGATTAGTTTAGTTTTTACTATGTGTGAGTAGTTCTATTTCTAGGGTTTATGGGGATTCATAAATAATATGAAGGGGTAATTTATTGTTGTTAATTATCAATGCTAGATTAATTTCCTATTGATTGATTTAATGCTCTGTGACTAGATTAGGCCTGATCTTTTATGCATGAGTTTGACAATATTGATTCAAGATTCGACAGATGAGAATTGATGTTTAGGTCTAGTTTCAATAGGCAGATTAATTTATAAATGGTTAACTCGAGATTTGAGAGATGAGATTTAATACCGGTAGATTAAATCTGTGATTGTAATACGTAGCGAAAGCCCTTTACAATCTGATTAATTGATGCATTGATGATTGACTATTATTGGTTCTTTATATTGCATGATAATTTCTTATTGAATTGTTTTTACGCTTTACAATTATGGCTTGTAAAAGTATAGCAATATTGAATTGATGAATCGAGCAGATGTTAATTTGACATTAAAGGCTATTTTCAATAGGAACTTAGATCTAGTAAATTACGAGAGCTTGTTAGATCTATGTTGATTAATAAATTGCGAGAGCCTGTTAATCATGTTATTTATGCAATGTCAATGATTGATTATTATGTTTTACCTTGGAGTATTATTTATTGATGAACCTATACCCTAGATCCTTTTATATATTGTTTTCTCCCTATTCTCGATCTCCGTAGTTTAGTTTATTATTCAATTATAAATATTGGTTACTTCATAATCTAGATTATATTAGTTAATTAGGAATAGAAAGATCTGTTTCTCTATGGATTCGACCCTACTTCCCTATCTACCTTAGTTAGGGGACTTAGGAATTATTTTTGATTAGGGGATACGACTTTACCTTGTCATCATTCCACAACTTGATTTCTTCCTGCGCCTCGATCACTGTGGGGGTGATGTTGCCTCCATGCTCAGCTATGAACTTGCGTAACGGAGACATGAATAATTGCACCCACTACACAAATGAAATTAAATCGTGTAAGTCAAATTAAATAACATTATTAAATGAATAAAGGTAATGAAATTAAATTAAAAAAATTAATTAAATCAACTTAAATATAAGAAATTAAATAGTGAAATAAACTTACAAAATCTACGTTTGTCCTGTCGAGTCGAGGTGGTGGGCCAAGCACTGCATCAGGACTCATAAGAAGTGGATGTGAGTACGTGTAGAACCAGTCCTCGTACTCATCAGAACAAGTAGGCTCCTCGTCCAACAATGGCAAATAGTCTTAGAGGGGTATACAGTAAGTCCCGACATTAAATCTGCCCCAAAACTGTGGTGCACTTGCAGAGCTAACCGCGTAACTCCGCGTCTCATATGCCGACCGGCACGCATAATCGGGTGTAAAACAGGGAGGAGGGATCCCCTGAACGAACCCAAGCTGTCGTACAACTCTGTCAGGGTGGTATGGCTCAACAACGTCTCGATACTGAATCCAACCCAGATAAGTAGTTCTCGGGACCGAATGAGCTGGACTCAAAGTATAAGGCCTCCAAATAACCTACAAGCAATTAAAGATAAAATATATATATTATTATTAACTTGTAAATCCAAAAATTTAAATTTATAATAAATATTTAGCAAAAAAATATACCTCTCGATCGGTCATCTACTCAAGGCGTCTACGAAAAGAAACTACACGATGGTAGTCCCTTTCCTGAATTTGTGTGTCCCACTTGGCGGCTCGAGCATCAGTCGATGTTATGGCTAAACAACCCTGAACAGGTCGAAATGCAGGAAAATACTCGTAAATCCAAGACTTTAACAACGTCAAAACCCAGCAATCTGTTTGCAACCTATCCGTGAGGCAATGCCTAGCTGCCGATACAAATAAGCAAGGGTAGCTGAACCCCATGAATAATGACAAAGCTGAACATCCTTCTTCTTCACCTCTAAGATGCAAGACGGAGGGATACGACTACCACTCTTATCGACAAAAATAGTGCTGCCTAGAACTAACAACAAGAAACCCTGCACCTGGATATCAGCATCACCTCTCTCTTCTAGGAATCTCTCATATATGGCCTGACTTGACACCCCCCCCCCCCGTTATTCCAAATGGCTGCCGACTTGGAAACAAGTTTGTCTACTCCTATCCCTGAAAATTCTGAAAGTCAGCCTTCAAAGACGCAACACCGCTTTTCTCTACAACAGCATCACCCTCCACAGGTAACCCAAGTATGTACTGTACATCATGGAGCATAATAGTCATCTCGCCGAACGGGAAGTGAAAAGTGTTTGTGTCTGGCTGCCAGCGCTCTACAAACGCCGAAATCAGGGCCCAGTCAATGTGATAATGCATGATGTTAACTAGCCCACTTAAACCAGTACTATCAGCTTGTCTACGCACATCATCGGCCATAACACTGTGCATCTCATGTAAATTTAAGCACCATTGCGTCCTAGATTGACACTTTAACACGTCACGATCTTTTTGTGGTCCCATCCAAATTTGCGTGGCGATGTGACCTGCATAACTAGGAATGACACTACCATCCTTGGGACCACCCGACATTTGAGCTTGAACAAGCCATGAAGTATCATTCAACGCTCGGACAACACGAATTTTACGAGTTCGGGAAGTACTAGCTATCAGCACCTCTCTTCAAAGTGACTCTAGACGACGTCTGGCCTTGCTCTCCCCTGCCTCCCCGGCGTCGAACAGATCTCAAACTCTCATCATCGTAAATCAAATCATTAATTTGATCCTCGTCCCACACTTCCTCCTCCTTGTCCTCATCCTCACGTCCCTGAACCTCATCATCAACACATGCTCCATCAGCTATAGGAGCTGATGACCTCAGTCTCCTAGTAGAAGCAGTCACTGCACGAGTCCTGGTATGTCTCTCACCCGAGCCATCAATACGATCAAACGTCATTTTGAGCCTACCCAACTGTCGTCATAACCAAATTAACGAAATATTTACAATCAATTATAATAATAATGATAATAAAATAACTATAATAATCATAACTGTGAAAAAAAAAAACAATAACAATCATAATAGTAGTCCCTCACTTTTTCATAATAATAATGATAATAAAAATTAGTACTGTGACCATTGTCCCTCACAGGTTCACTGTCGATCACTTTTTCATAAAATATCATTAAGAAACAGTAATTGCCTGATATTCGAGCAGGGAGGAGCATCATGTGATCTATATGCAGTGTCAAATAGAAGAAAAAAATCCACAATTTAAGCTTTTTTCTCCAGCCAATATGCAACATTATCCATTAATGTGGAGTTCCTTTCAACATTAAGGCCGCTTAATTGTGCCATGTATCTAGATGCATAAATTCTAGCTAGTACCTCAAAGTCAACACCGAATAGATCAAAGTTGTCCATTCTAACTAGACAAAACCTAACCAAACATTGACCAAGTCCTCTTCACTTAAAGACTCCATCTAACTCGAACCTTAAACTACTTTAAGTCCACAACCTTAAAGTAATCTTTCACTAGCTGCTTTCCTTTATCTTTCCTTGTTACAATTACAAATATTAAAACTTTAAATGATCATATTAATACAATTACATCCAATTCAAAGATGAAAGCATATTTTATAGTGCTCATAGTGTTAGGCTGCCTTGTTGCTCTAATCCTGTACATGTTTCTGAGAATAAGATGTGAAAAAAGGGAACGAAAAAGCTCCAATACTTCGCAGGAAAGTACTGCTTAAGGCTCAGCAAATGGTGATGTCGAAATTGGCAAAGGAAAAGGAACAAAGCCTTGACCCCATAATATTTTTTTAGATGCCAAACTCGTGAAATCATCTCTATTTTGAATACAATCATGCAGTTCATCAATTAGCAAAACAAAT